CCTCTGGCCGCGTTTCCCAGGGAGACGACCGGCGGCGGCGGAGGGTCCCGGTGACCCAGCCTCTCGGGGGCAGCGACGCGTCCATAGGACACTGAGCTTGTAAAATCCGATCCGCAAGGAATTTCTCTTTCCCCGACGGACAGGACATAGAAGGGCGGAATAAGGAGGTTTAAGGCAAAGGTCCTGCAGTCAGGGTGGCCGCAGGCCTGGCCGGGAACCCCGCGCGGCCGGAAGGTTGGTTCAGACCCGCTTAGCATCCTCCGGGGGTCAGATGGAGAGCCCCCCCTTTACAGTAACGCACCCTCACTTCTCCCCGCGGTGCTCACATCATAGCTAATAGACATGACATGCGATTTGGCTTAAACATAGACGCGTGCTCACCTTTCCTTAAACAGGATTGGAGCGAGGGCACGGGAGCACTGTGCAGGCAGGACCCGCCCCCCCCCCCCACCTTGTAGCCCGTTACACGTCCTGTTCTGAGGGGGAGGCCCCTGTTCTGGGTCCGAGCCTGGGGTCCGAGTTAGAGGGCTCCGGTGGTGCCTCAGCTCCAGCTGCCAGGACAGAGCACATGGCCCGAGGGGCACACGGCCGGGGGCACCCAGGCGGCAGCTCCCTCTCCGGGTCCCGGGGCTGGAGGTCGAGATGCCAGGCCAGCCTGCCCGGTCTGGGGCGACCCCCTCCTGGGTGGCAGGGCCTTGTGTGTCCTTGGAGAGCGGGAAGAGGGTGGGCGCTCTGGGGCCCCTTCCATAAGAGCACTAATCCCATTCTGAAGGGCCCACCATCCTGAACCACTCAGCTCCCGAGGCCCCACCTCCTAACACCATGCATTGGGGTAGGGCTTCAGCCTAGGGGTTCCAGGGAACAGGAGCATCCAGTCACCGCACGCCAGGTGGGAGGGGTGGAGGGTGGGAGACTACTGTAGCACCAGAAATCCGCCCGCAGTTTGCAGTTTCAATGCTCCTATGCGTGCCCGGTCATTGATGTGTCAGCGAGACTGGGCGGCAGGTGTGAGCATGGCTGGGTGTGTCTGGGGGTGGGGGCTGTGGGTGTGATTCACCAGGGAATCTGGAGACTGAATGAAGCAGACTGCCCTCTCTGGTGGGGTGGGCCTCGTCTGAGCAGCTGACGGTGTGACCGCACAGGAAGGCTGACCCTCTCCCGAGTGAGAGGCCAGTTGTGGGCCTGCCTGTGGGAGCCGGGACAGGGTCTCTCCTGCCCTCTCACCGCTGGAACACGGCTCTTCTCGGGTCTCGCACCTGCCAGCCTCTGCACCGCACCTGCACCGTCCTTCCTCCCGCGCTCAGGCCGCAGGCTCCACGGAGCTGCACTGGGGTCTCTGGGCCTCGACTCCCCACTGCAGACGTTGGGACTTCTCAGCCTCCGTAACCATGGAGCCAGGCGCTTACACTAACTCTCATTCCATCTATCTATCATCTATCTATCTATATCTATATATCTATCTATCTATCATCGATCTATCTATCATCGATCTCTCTATCTATCATCTATCTATCTATCTATCTATCTATCTATTAATCTATCATCGATGGAGCCAGGATCATCGATCTCTCTATCTATCATCTATCTATCTATCTATCTATCTATCTATCTATCTATCATCTATCTATAATCTATCTATCTATTTATCTATCTATCATCTATCAATCTATCATCTATCCATCCATCTGGTTGGTTTTCTGTATCATCTATCTATCTATTTATCTATCTATCATCTATCGATCTATCATCTATCCATCCATCTGGTTGGTTTTCTAGTACCCACCTCTATCCATCTCTGAGTGTGACAGAAACTCAAGGCGTGACCAAGAATAGTACAGGGTACTTCACACACAGACAGCAAAACCCAGGACATGCAACTCAGGTTGACACACAATCCCTACTCAGCAGAGGGCTTAGGCCAGAGGACGAGGTAAATGCATTTAGAATGAGAAACCTATTTGAAAATTGTACTTATGAATAATCTAATCTAATGCTTTCAAAATTCAAAAGATTGAGGTGAGCATCAGTCACTCACATAGCATCTATACTGAGTGCCTGCAATCAATCACATGCTTAATGTGTTTCTCAGAGAAAGAGCTTTTTAACACCTGACCTTGCCCAAGGGGAGGTGTTGACTTGTAATGACTATAGTCCCAACATGATCTTTACTCAGTGCACGATGAGCTAACACTTTTAATAGGAAGCTGTTTCATTTTCTAGCAACACATTCTAGAACCCTCTAGGATTCTAGCTATGGCACCACTGATGCCCAAGAAATGAAAACTGCAAAGCTCTAGTACTGGGACAGGAGGACCCAGTGCCATGCAAGTCAGCCCTTCAACGCAGCTGGTCTTCACCCCATCCCGAGGAGACGTGCCAGCCCTCTCACACGTGAGCAGGAGCTTCAAGCTAACATGGATCTACTCAGCTCGTCAACAGCTCTCAGGCCACTTTGCCGCCTGCCTTACAGAAAAGTCCATTATCCCAGAGAAGACCCAGTTCAGGAGTAGGGCGGCCTGAGGCAGTCGGGGTGCCTGGAGCAGGGGATGGAGAGGGCGGGAGGAGCTGGTGCCGGGGGAGAACCAAGTGAAAATGGGACGAGGCCAGGCGGGCCTCCCAGGCCACGCCAGGGCGTTTGTGTCCGAGACGTGCTGACTGACCCGCTTTCTGGGTCATGGGAAGGCTTCCATTGGCACCTTCCAGAAGAGTGGAAGTGCCATCCTGGGAACGGATCTGAGCGAGGAGGGCTTCATCCCAAAACTGTTAGTATGGCTTCCACTCCAGGCCTTTAAAAATACTGGCTATTACAAAAAATACAGTAAAATAAAGACTAGAAAGAGAGACTGGCTCGGAAGAGTAGGTGCGCATTACAGGCGAGTGTGTTGGTGGGAGGGAGGAATAAGCCCGCTCTGGAACTTGAGCCCTTGGCATCTGACCTTGACCTAGGGACCTTGTTCCTACAGTAAACTATTGACCTCTTTGTGCCATGGCTGCTGACCTGTGAGACAGCAATGACCACCAACAGGATTGCAAATCATTCTGCAAACACTGACAGCGACAGAAACAAAGGAGTCAGTACCTCCCCCGCTGTGAGATCCGCGGCTACATCAGAGTTGAACACCTTCTCTCTGCGGAGTTTAACTTCTGTTAAACAGCATGTGTGTGTGGCAGAGTGAGCGTGTGCTTATTCTCACACAGCCAACCCGTGCTCACTGGAAACGCACGCACGCTCTCTGATGCACGACCAGCTCCCAGGGGACCCCACAGCATTCGCTCAACGCAGAAGAGCCTGCAGGAGCAGGGCTGGGTTTGGCTCAGTGGATAGAGCATGGCCTGCAGACTGAAAGGTCCCAGGTTTGATTCTAATCAAGGGCTCATGCCTGGGTTGCAGGCTCAATCCCCAGTAGGGGTCATGCAGGAGGCAGCCGATCAATGATTCTCTCTCATCATTGATGTTTCTCTCTCTTCCTCTCCTCGTGTGGGTGAGGTGGGAGGCTCCACGCCCATTGTTTCATAACCCTATTGAGGGGATGAGCTGCAGCTGAGCCGTTGCAACTGGAGCAGCGGCAGGAAGAGCACGGGCAGTGGGAGCCGAGGGCTCCTCGGGGCTAGTGCTGTGAACTCAGTGATTCATGTGGAAACTGCTGTCTCCTGTGACATCCCATTTTTTTTTGGGGGGGGAGTGTGCACAGACAGAGCTGTACTCCTTCAGGGCACGGAGATTGCCCCGCCTGCCATTGCACTGGGAGGCTGTGCACACTGTCTTCAGCAGCAAAAGGGGATAAGGGCCGACCTTAGGGAAAATGAGGCATTTACAGAACCAGGACAGCTACTTCTTCGTGAACCTGGAAAGAATCCCGCAGCCTCTTCAGTTCCTTCTTTTCAGATTCATGCCTAGCAACCAGGTGATCCTAATGACCCAGACATGGAGCACAACACGTTCGTGGATGAGATCTGGTGACAGTCAACTGGCTGCCCAGGCCCTGGTTAGTGGCCACGAGTGGCTGGTGAGGGACAAGGAGCTGGACAGACACCCCCTTTCGGTTCCGGCCAGTCCCTTGCGGTTTGCTGACTGCCGCTCCCCGGCCCTGGCCCACCCCAGTGGGGAGCAGGTGAGCTCTCCAGTGCAGGCTGAGTAGCATCCGAACATGGGCCGGTGCCTCAGGACTGCTCACCTGACCAGGCCTTCCTGCTCAGCCCCCGTGCCCTTCTGCTCTGCCATCCTTCGGGGCGATTCTGCTGCGTTTGGTGGTCGAGGGTTTGTGGTCTGATCTCTGAGCAAGTTCTCCCCAGAGATGTGATCTGTGGAAGGAAACAACGTAGACAGAATCTATGCCAGCCTCGACATGGCTGTGTCCGACAACATAAGCTACAAAGATGCGCTTGTTTTCCCAGAAGCGGCTTCGCAGTACCGCCTCCCCGCACCCCTGCTATGAAGCGGTGCCCTACGCAGGAGAAGCTGACCTGCAGACAGCACCTTTGGGCTGACGGAAAATATACCTAAAGTTGCTGGGTTATATAACAAAAGTTCACAGAGTACA